TATATCTATTTATATTATTCCTACTTGCTGTTTCTGGTGATAGCGAGCTCCATTTAAAACAAATATTGTCTTGTACTGTTTTTATTCTGAGGAGCAGAGGTTGTAAGGACGATGATACAGGGAAAAATTTCTGTTTTCAGCTAAATCTAGTTAGACAAAAGTTTCTGTAAAATTTTCTTTAACTGGTTGTCTTGAAAATGCAAGCAACAGCCTTTGGGAACGAAAAGGCTTTTCAAAGAGATGTCATCTGTATTTGATCCAGTTGGGTCTCTATGGACATCATGGTCTTTTTAAAACATCTATTTTAAAGTGTGTGTGATTCTGAAACTAATATTCTCACTAATAATTTCAGATGATGGATGTTTATTACCATCGGTGTCTTGTGATAGGCTATGACTTGATTTTAATGTCATTTAAAGAGACTCAGAGAAGAAGGATCATCCTAGGGTAAAGGCACAGGCTTCCTTTGAGGTTCTGGTTTTTCCCACCTCCAAATCGCGATAGTGTTGTTTTTCTGGTTCCCCAGCCTATTGTGGATGAGTAAAGGCATGAGTGGTTTTCAGAGTAGTAATCTCTGTTTTACAGAAACTTACAGAGTAAGTATCATTGCACATGACAGATACAGAGGACATCCAGGTGAGAACATACATCCTGTTTCTGTATTCTGATGATCTAGAAAAATAACTGTTGCCTGCTATGAAGTACAGCTGGTGAGAACCAAAAATCTGACTATGATAGAAGGGAAGTGTCCATTTACTAGTGGATGCTCAACAGCAAATTGCCTGGGATTTCTGTTGTACTTTTCCCAGTGTGACTTAACGGATTTTGTGGCTTGTTTTGTTTTGGTTTTGTTACTTTTTTTTTATTGTTTTACTTCAGGCAGTGTTGGTTTGTAGCCAAAGGAAACTCTTGGAATATTCCTTGGCTGAAAGTAGCTTGGTCATCGTACTGTACTGTATCTAGCATGATTTCAGAAAGGGTCTTCTGCAAAAAAAACTAAACAAACCTTTAAATTTCCAGGAATATAAATATATTCAGTAGAAAGAAAGCCATTCTTTGTTCATGTGTGACTGATTTGCTTTTGTTTAAGGCAATTTTGGAGAAAAATCTTGGAAATCTACAGCAATTTTACCATAAAGTTCTGCTTGCCAAATAGTTGCAGCTTTACCTCTCAGAGGCTGGAGGGAAAAAAAAACAACAAAAAAACCCACAACAAAACAATAAAGAGGATTGGGGTTTTCCAAAGACCGTGAGTGATTAATGCTTACTTGGCAAAATGTAAATACCTCTTTAATAACAATACTGTGCTTAAGGCTTTAAGAAACATATCTCTCTTAGAAAAGTGCAACTCTATCGCTTCATCCAAGGCATGTCATTCTTCTCTGGAAGCTGTCATTTTAAAGTGTAATGTCTGTGGGAGTGATTAATGCCTCTGATGTATTTTCAGTCTTCATGGTACTTGCAATTAATCCTTGCAAAGTTGCTACAATAAAAATGATTGTTCTCACTGTTTTGTGGAAGGGATACAGAGAAGAAAAAACATGCCAGAAGAGATAGTCGAAATAGGACTATACCTTTCTCCTACAGGCCATTAAACCAGACTCTCATGTGTCTCAGAACAATCCAGCTATTCTGATCATTTCCCTAATGGCAACTTATTATTACATTAATCAGTCATTGGATGAGGTTTACAAATAGTCTTTGAGAGAATAAGCAGAACCTTTATTTCTTCTCTCTTGTAGACAAGTGTCTTATCTGTTTGGTTACGTGTCATGCTTCTGTCTATCTAGTCCAATCCATCAGGAATTCTTCCCTTGCACTAAGTTTCAGCAGATGGCAGGAAGACTCTGTGAATGTTGGATGAATATGAAGTTCTTAATGGAGTTTATACTCTGTGTGGCTGTGGGGAGAGTGAGAGTATTAAATCTCTCAGGTTTAAGAACTGGCATAGGGCTATTATACTGGATGGATACGTCTTTGCTTAGAAGATTTGGCTTCAGAGTTGGAGTATTTTTTAATTGTATTTTTTTTTAAGACTGACTTTTACAAGGAGATGCTTAATTATGTTAGTGCTTGCTCAAATTGGGTGCATTAGATATCTGATGCTTTTGAAAACTGGTTTTATGTATAGTGCCCGATTCATGACCTTGCTGAAATAGAAGCTTTTTTTAACCATCCACATATCTGCAGCATTTGGTGCCTAAACTTGGTGGGTCCTTCATGGGCTTTTATGGTGCCTGTGAGGTTTTCATCTTGGATTTGTGTTTGTAATTCTGCATTGTTCTGCTTGTGGATTTGGGCCCACTTGCCTTAATGTGTTTCCATCATTCTTGCCTGAAAGCCAAACTGGCCTTGGCTTAACCTTGAGGGCAAGGAAGTGGCAAGTCAAGGAAATCCTCTGTAAGACCTAGTCACACTGCTGGTTCTGCAGCTGTGTAAGCCCTTTACATAAACAATTGTGATGCTCATTTAGAAAAAAGCACAACAAAACCTTATTTGCACTGTAGTGCAAAATCCTACGTCTGATCCCTTCAGCGCTGAAGCACGCTGTGTGAACATACAGTAGCCAAGGAAATTCTCCTTAGAATTGCACATTCAGAATACTTTGTGAGGGTGGTACATTCAAGTGAGTTTCTGTGACATCTGTCTGCGTTTATTACTACAAAACTGGGATATTGAGCATGATGTTTCTGGAAGTACACAAATACCTTTTTGAGCTCCCCTTCCCTGCTGTGGGCACTGTGGACAATTAACACTTTTTCTTTAGGAAGCCAGTTTCTTGTATGCAATGTAGCTGCATTGTCTTTGCAACAGAACTGGAAGAGTGATATCTGTGGTGCAGCTGACAACTCTTTTTTTTCATCAATCTGTGCTTCACCAACTAAGACCAGATGTTTCCTGCCACTGCATAAACAATACTTTACATTGTTTGTGTGGGTTTCTAGCCCAGAAAATTAACTGGTTGTAAGTATAGCTGAGTAATGTTTAACTTGAAAATGCTGTACTTGTAGTTGCCAGGCAGTCATCATTTACTGAGGGCGGGGGGGGGGGGGGGAGGGGAAAGGCAGGGAAAAAGCCCCCAAATCTCCTCCTCTGTATGTTATACAAAATTCTAAAGTCCTGGCCAGAGGATTCAGCTTACTGCTCAGTACTGTACCCCTTTTTCCTACAGAGAATTTAACTAACATAAAATCCACAGTGTTTATAAATTCAGTTGTATTTTATTGATTATCACTTCTAATATGAAGCTTCCTTATCTTTTCCTCAGAAGATGACAGGTTTTATGATTCCCCCACAGATCTCACAGTGCCCTCCTACAGTTTGCTTGATAGTGTCATAGATTTGAGTTACTCTTTTAATTACTCAGCAACTGTCACTTTGTTAAAAACAATTCAGTAGCTTTGCCATCTCTTAAAGGGTGAAACAACGACTGAGTTTACATTCTCCCTACTCTCTTTACCTCAGTAAGTTTCCTTTCTTTTCTTAGCTGCAAGGTGCCTGTGACCATAGCAGCTTTTTCGTTTTTTTTGTTTCTATTATATTCTTAGGGGGCCGGTTAGCTCAGTGGTTTGAGTGCGGTGCTGACAACAATGACCAACACTGAGGTCGTGTGTTCGATTCCCGCTCGGTCCCCATGTGTTGCCTGGTCTAGTCGACAAGTGGTGTCCCTGCCCATGACAGGGAGGTTGGATTAAATGATCTCTAAGGTCCCTTCCAGCCTAGGCCATTCTATGATTCTATTAACACCTCATCGTCTGCTTGAGATCAGTAAGTAATAATAATGAAAATGTATGTCCAAAGCCTGAATCTAGGCAAATAACTCCATTAGCTGCTTCTTGAGATCTGAAGTGCAGCTTGCAAAAACTGAGGATGCTTCAGAAGCTTTCTGTGCATATGTTAATACTGCATATTAGCTATTCCTCCTTCTTAAGACCCGGTGAGATTTGGATCCTTAGGTTGAGCCTTGTCTCTTAAAGTGTAACTGCAGAATAATTTTCTGGAGGTATTTGAGATATACTTGCTGTGTTGATTGTTGTTGCAGAGTGCCTTACGTAACTGTTCCTGCATTAATCTTATTTGTCTTGACAATCTGAAGTTGTCAGCTCAGTAGTGTAGCCTGGTTTACGGGTTCTCTTTTTTTTTTTTTGCTTTAAGCTAGATCCTGTGAAAATCGAGGATCTCATAGTCTTCATCTAATCATTTAAACCCTGAACAGTTTTTCAGATTTTTCTTCTAGTAGAAAATAAATTGGGCAGAAAGAAATTGGTCAGATGAATCTTTTTGTGAACACGGAGAAAGAGCTTGTACGTGTTTGCTGTACTATTTTATGTTGCTGTTTGTTTTCTTTAAAATTCTTTTTCTGTACAAACAGTGTAATAAATGAACTTGTTTACTTGATTAGGCGTTTGACTATATTGTTTAACTATTTTTTGTCTGCATCACAATGTATACGTTTCTAAAGAGAGAGAACACACGTGTATATATAAGCACTTGCCTTTCACACAGGACTCTTACGGCACCTCTTTGGGCTGGTCTAGCTATCGCCTGTAGTGGCCAGTTGTGTTAACTCATCAGTCTGCAGTTTCCAGTTTGTGTAGTTCAGGTCTGCAGGACTCCTTTCTTGCACTTGCTGATTTTCCAGTATCCCTAATAAACAAATCCAGGGCTCTGGTTTGTTTAATCTCTGTGTGAGGACAAATTATAGCTCAGAGAATCCTTGTACATTTTGTCCACATAGTACAGTGTGGGGCTAATGAACACAGAAGTGTCTGCTGATTTACTGGTCAGATAATTCCATTTGTGCAGCAGAATAATTTGGTCCTTCATTGAATTGCTGTATTTTCTTACTTTTTTAATAGTCTTATGTAATTTTATCAGAATTCCTCCCATACTGTTAAACTGTGTTCTAGTCACTTGGTGAGTGTGTGTGTGTATATCTATAAAAAAAATCTAAGTTCCTTCTGATGATGATAGTAAAAAATTACTTCATGTACTGTTGTATGATGCTGTAATGTTCTCTCTCTTCTTATTTTCCAGCTGTATGGGGAAACTTTGTCAATATGAGGTAATGTATATAATTTTTGTATTGAATATCCTTATCTGAAATAGCATTAACTTACCTTTCCCATCAACATGCATTGCTGTGCATCGAGTAGGAAGAAAACAGAGCAGCAGCACATACTGTTGTTTGGATGGTTGCTAGGCAGCTGATACAATTTTTTAAATATAAAGTATTCAGTCTGTAAGAGTTTTGTGTCTGCTGCAGATCTCGCCCAGGATCTTGGACTTCAGCATCTGCCTTGGTTTACATAAATCCTTCTGATTTTGGATTTTTCAGGGAAGTTGATTGACATAGCTGGCCACTTAGGTTTGGATTCTGCTTGTCCTCAGCGCATATCTTGCCATATCTCAGTGACAGTATGGGCTTCAACACTGAAAAGCAGGAGATCCTCCACTGCTTGCCATAATTATGTTTCTGTACCTAGAATTACAAATGTGGTTTTGAGGGTTTGTGCTTCTCCACAGTTAATTGGGATAGAATCTGATAGTTTAATTGCTGAAAAGAAAAAAGAATCCTGCACCATCCCTTAGAAATAAGATGGCATAGCGTATGCATGCAAAACATGAAAATTTTCACAGCATTTCTGCTTTCATGCGAGTATTTGCCCTCTGGGGAAATTCACCAGGAAGACGCAATCATCATGTTGTTTTGTTTGTCAAGGATTTTGATACTCTGTTGCCATGCTTAGCAACACCAAGTGAAGAAAGTTTGAGGCAAAGTAAGAAAAGCAATGAATTTTCTGTGGGCTCTGATTCACCCAGGACAGTTTACTCTGGGATAAGTTCCTCTGTCAATCTGTCCAGTTTACTTCTCTTGGAGTTTTCCCACCCTTGCTACAAAGAGTGTTCAGCTGGTAGGCAACCAGCTGCTGAGCTGCCTCGGCTTGCAGATGGAGATATCGTTTAGATTACCATGTTATCACAGCCAGCAAACTGTGGCAGCTTAGCAGCTGTTACATGAGCAGCCGAGCATTTCCGAGGGAAAGGACAAGAACCTTAGAGAGGGATTTGAGAAGGAAGGGCAAATGAATGTGGGATCCAGTGCGTTCATTTCCTTCTAAGCTGTCCTGACAAATTCTAGCATTTGCTGCATCTGACTTCTCATTTGAGATTCCTTTACTGAGCTATCAAGTGAGAAAACTTAATTTCTGGAGGTCTGATGTTGATCCTCAGCCAGTAAGATTGTCTCTTTTAGGAAGAAATTAAACTGCAGAGTGCAGTCCTTAAGTTCCAAGATTACAATAAATTATAATTTGTTTTGGAAAGATGGTTCAGGGTCCATGTGTCTTAGTGTAAGAATTTACTGTGCTCTTTACTAATACAATAAAACAAATCTGGTCAGTAAGATTTTTGCCTCAGTAAGAGACTGATCTGATTTTTTAGTAAGAGAGTTTTACAGAGGGCTATGAAGGGAATCATTGCTCTAGCTTTTAACAGTGTGACGTATGTACATCTGCTTAACAAAGGATCTGCTGTTTCCCTAGGTGTAATGACTTCAGGTCCTAAGTAAAGGAGCTCTGTTTGATTTGAAAGAACTCCATTTTATGTTTCATACCAATGAATCTTCTAGTATGCAAAAAACTTCCTACTGTAATATAAATAATTCCCCTTTCAGAAGGTTTAGTTGGGGGGGAAGGATGGTTATGCAAACTTAAGGGAAATTACATAGACTAGGTGCAATAAATAACATTTAAAAACACATATTCTGCACTCATAGAAGTTTATTCAAAGAATTAATGCAACTAATTGGGATAATTTATACAATTAGATTTGCTAAGTAGGACAACTCAGGTTTGTACAAGAAACCAACTCCTTAGTACTCTGTTTTCACAAGTTACCTTGATATCCGTCATCCTTGACTTCATTTCAAAGGGGTAACACTTGTGTGAGAAGTCAGTATTGGTCATCAGATGGTCACATAAGACAAGTTTTGATATAGATTTTTCTTTTTCCCTCATGTTTGGAAAAGTTCAAAGTCAAAGCTAGATACGTTTGCCCTTCTTTCTTTTTGATTGATATTACAGTTACAGTTGTGGCATTAAGGGAAAATGTTTTGTTAGCATACTTATGGCATACAGTAAACAAAAAGTCTCAAAGAGACATCTTAGGCATTTGCACAGTAAAGCTGCACTCAGAAACATTGCTGCTGCTCCTGACTTGGTGCACTGATTAGATACTTTTCTACAATGAAGTTAATTTTACCTTTAAGGTGAATGCCATCTTTATCACTTTCTTCTGGGCTTGGTACAGTTCCTGCCAAATTTGGTGACAAGACTAGCTGATTTCAATGGGAATTGAAATATCCACTTTCATTTGCTCTGAGTACATTTTTGAAATAATACTGACCTTGGATGCTTTGAAGATCCTATTTTAACAGGAAGAGCATGATGCAGGTGCAATGAAGCAACTATTATTTAGGTATGAATTATGATTTTTTCTTTTCTTGCCAACAGGTCTCTTCAAGAAAATGGGGATCAGAAGGTGGAAAGTAAAATAGAAGAGGTTAGTTTGCTAATATTTGTAGTCTGTTTTGGTTTTGAGGACTCCATTTCACTCATATCAAAAGGGTGTATTTAGTTCTACCTCATTACTCTCCATTTCACTGAAACCATCCAAAGCATAGGATTTCTACCTATACATACATTTTTGAATTGTTCTTCACTATAGTAGAGTTTCTGACGTAGATATGTACTCTCATATCTTTTTTTTTTTTCCTCTAACCTTTCATAAAAGTTATAGCTCTGCTGTCTCATTTGCTGCAGAGATGTGATAGACTCCTCTGGATAACTGGTTTTTATTACTGAATGAAGGATATACACAAATTCTTTCCTCTGTCACCCTCTCAAAGTGTTAAGTGTGTGTAAGTTTCATGAGAAATTTCAAACCTCCCAAAAATGATTCAATTTGTTAATAATTAATGAATAAAGGTAGTGATGTTTGTGGTTGGGGATGCTGTGCAGTCCTGATGCTTTAAGCACAAGTCTTGGCAACTTCTGGAGTATTGAGTATTGAACACGTCGGTGCTTCTGAACTTCTGTACCAATACCTCTGAATTTACACTTCAGCCCCAGTTTCTTGTGAAACATTAAGAATGTGTGCAGCAGATCTTTCTCTAGATGTTTTTAGATTTCCAGTCTAGTAACAATAACACAAAGAATTTAAAAGATACAGAAGTCTTTGAGGTCAGTACTCCCTACTCTTCGTGTTGGTGTGTGTGACCATAGTAGTGTAGTCTGGCCTGCCTAGTGTCTTGTAGTCCAACAGGTTTATTTGGCAGGTGTTCCTCTGGACACAGAAACACAGTGAGAAACCCTTTGGAATTGGTTGAAATCAGTGGAAGGGTTATGCTTTTAGTTTGTCTTTTGCGTTATCTTTTTTTTTTTTCTTTTAATTCTAGTAAGCATTGCGGCAAGCATTCTGAAAATCCCAGTTTCAGAGTGGTCAAGTACTTGAAATTTAGTTGGTTGACCAGAGTTATTCTAAGGTCTGAGAAGTTGAGTGTTTCTGAATGTTGTCTGCAAAGCTTTAGTTGTATAGTGTCTTGAACCGTCAGAAGTTAAATGTAACTGTTTCAAGAACTATTTGCTGCTTCACAGACCTAGATATTTCATGAATATAAATGACAATATTATACTTCCTCTTAACATGAATATGCAGTGTGTTTCAGTTCATGAAGTTCCTGAATTGTCTTGTTCTAACCAGCAGTATTTGTTTAAAACAAATTAATGGTGGTTGGTGATGTGTTACTGTGTAGCACCATTTCAAATGATAACTTTCTGATAGCTTCCAGTTTATGTATGGCCCTAGGTGGTAAATTTTGTGACAGTTTTAGTAAACGTAAAAACGAGGGTTCAGGGACTCATTGAAATTTGCGTCCTGTAATAAAGAACTGAAAATTGATGCTGTGTTAAGTGATTCTCTCTGTCAAAGCAGCGAAAAAGCAAACAGAAATCTTGGTAGGTAAACTGTATTTTCTAAGAAATTTCCTTTTAACATTTTTAAATATACCCTCAAATTACAATGTAAATGGATTTTTAAACATGACATTTCTTTGAATTCGTGGATGATGTGAAAGAATTACAGTGTTTGCAGTGGAGGTAAAGCCTCTTTTTCTGTATCTATGTACCTTTAAGTATGTGCATCTGCTGTCCTTTTAAATAGTAGATGTTTTACTGACTGTCCCGTTGTGCTGTTGCCTTTGACAATCTCAGACAAGTCACTTGCGACTTGGCTTTTTCAAATAGGAGTCATAACATTGGATATTCTTATCAACAAGCACACAAACTTGTGGTGTTCTGTTTGCAGTGCTAAGCTAATGGATTTCACACTGTACTAGGTGATTTGATTTTTGGTGAAAAAGGTTCAAGGGGTTTTTTTGACATAAAGATGCCTCAAGATGCAAGTTTCTTGAAGTGTCTTCAATGAAGCTCTTCATAGGAGACTGCTGTGATTTTTGCTCTGAGAAGGCTTGGATATGCATGCTTTGTGATGTGAATCTTGTTCTGTTCTTCAAAGCTTAAATGTTATTCCTTTATTTTAGGCTGTTGCACCTCTAAGGGAGAAAATCAAAGATCTGGAAAAAAGGTACATCTTTTGCTAAATTTGGGAAACAGTTAAAAAGCACAGTTTCTGTTTTGTAGTGCTCAATACTGTAGTTGTAGGCTTGAGAGAAATGCTCTGTGTATAGCCTTGGTACCTTTGTATTTTTGTCGTATCTAAGTGAGGATGAGGCTTGGAATGCTGAAAGATGTTAATGCTTAAGGTATTTAGGCTGACTAATCCTACTAAAGTAAACTGGGAGTGCTGGATTTTTGTCAAGTTTAAATCCTGTGGAGGAATTTGCTGGTTTGAGTCCAGCTGGTGAATGGATTACCATGGTTTAGTGAATCCAACCCAGGTATGTGCTAAAACATACTTGTTTCAGCTTCAAGAGACTGAAAATATGTTTTACCTCACATTTCCCAGTGATCAGTTACCGTGGTTCAGCTAGCATACAGTGATTTGCTTGTGAATCTTTGTGCATGTGCTTTGGATGAGCCCGACTGACTTGTGCCTCTCGGGATTTGTAAGGGAATCTGTTATCTTGGATTAAACTGGATGATGTGATTGAGGAAAAGCAGACAGGTTTTTTTGATGAGCTGCAGATACTAAATATATGCTCTAGTTCCACAAGCACCTTAAATTGACATAGGTGCTAAAAAAAAAAAAAAAGTCCAAGCCTGATCTATGTCTCCCTGGCTGCCTGTTTTCACCCTGCAACATCATTTCCTCACTTTTATCCTAGCAGAGCCACTTGAGTACTGACAGTAATAAATGGATGGCATTTCAGTCTCTCTTTACAAGTAGCAACTTTACTCCCCAGCCTGGTTGCCTTTCTGCCAAAACAGTTCTCCCATCTGAGTGTTCTCATGGGCAGGTGCTTTTCATCACAAAATAAGGTCTGGAGTAGGGATGGGGATTCTCAACTCTGACAAGGTTGCTTTTGAAAGTGATGCTGATTCAGAGAGGGTACTGTTGATGTTCCAAGCAAACAGCTAGCCAGGAATGCTGTATTGCAAAGGGCCAAGTCTGGAATTACCCAAGCTGTACCAGTAAGCCTTGGTGATTATGGTACTGGCTGGTCCTCTGAAGAGGGAGTCAGATTCCCGTTGCTCTTGGCCAGAGGTATGCATGCCACTCACAGTATTTTAGTGTTTTGTCTTGCCGGTGAGCAGTTGCCCCTCCTCTTCCCACCCTTCCTGTGCTGTTAAAAAAAAATAAAATATTGTCAGTTCTGGTTATTTTTTTTTCAATTGATTTGAAAGATTTTGAAAGATTCAGTGACCTGCCACATGCAGTTTATTTCAGTGAGGATACTGATCTGATTGCTTGTCTCTTCATGTAGAATCCTAGAATGGTTTGGATTGGAAGGGACCTTTAAAGATCATCTAGTTCTAACTCCCCTGCCGTGGGCAGAGATCATTTCTACTAGATCAGGTTGCTCAAGCCCCATCCAGCCTAGCCTTGAGCACTTCCAGGCAGGGCCCTTCCACAGCTTCTCTGGGCAACCTGTTCCAGTGTCTCACCACCCTGATGGTAAATAATTTCTTCCTTGTATCTAATTTAAATCTACTCTTTCAGTTTCAAACGGTTACCCCTTGTCCTATCACTGCACTCCCTGACAGAGCCACTATAAGGTGTCCCTGGAGCTGACTTTTCTCCAGGCTGAAGGACACCAGGTCTCTTAGCCTGTCCTCACAGGGGAGTTCCTCTAGCCCCCTGGTCATTTTCATGGCCCTCCTCTGGACCTGCTCCAACAGGTCCGTGTCCTTCTTATGTTGAGGGCCCCAGAGCTGGACACAGCAGGTGAGGTCTCACCAGAGCAGAGGAGAGTGGCAGAAGCACCTCCATTGACCTGTTGGCCACACTTCTTTGGATTCAGCCTAGGATGCGGTTGATTTTCTGGGCTACTAGTGCACATTGCGGCGCCTATTGATGCAGCCTAGGACACAGTAGTTGCATGTGATACTATCATACCAATATATAACGATCAAATGATAAAGATTTTATGTTCAGATTGTTTTTGATGTTCTGCCTCCTTTCTATTGATTTATTTAGTCTTTATTAATAGCCTGGTACATCTTCAGTTTTTGGCAATTCACTTATTTCCTTCTGTCATTCACAGAGTACCTTTGTGGGAGGAAATCCTGCTTGAATCTTTAATAAATTGCTCTTTAAGAATTGTTATATTTTTCCAAATGAGCAGTGAGTTGTTGGTTAAAACCAGTAAAACTTCTTCCAGGAGCCATCTAAATGCTCTTTTTGAAAGAATCAAAATATTTTGGGGTGGAAATCAAAGAATGAAAATATAACCTGGGAATTATACTTTCACAAAATGTGGACTTATGGGCTTTTATGGTCCATATCGAAGTAAGGACTTTTGTTGTTGTGTTTTTCAAATAGTGTAGCTGTCTACCTTTGCTGGTTCAACTGTGTGTGGGTTGTTGCAATTAGTTATTTTTGCATTTTATATCTATGTAAAATGACAGTAAATAACTGCTCCCTCTCAGATGCCTGAAGGCTAATCCTTCTTACAAAACTTACTGTTTAGTGTCAATGTTTTTGGTTTTTTTTACCTCACAAGCTGATAAAACCTGAAAGCAAGCCATCGTCATGCTTTTGGAAAGCAGGAAAGACAAGAATTTGTTAATGCTAGTCTCATAACAAGAGATTGTTTAACCAAAGCTGAAGTTGAAAAGTTTTTATTAATAATTTGCACAGCAAAAGCATTGTTGCATAGTCATCAAAGCAGGCATTAGGTCAAGATAAACTCAGTGTTGTTGCAAAAAGATGAACATTCAGCTGGATCAGTTCCAGACTTCTGCCCACTGCCTCTAAGCTAGTACTGGTGTAATGGAAGGGGCAAGAATGGCTGAGAGTTCCCTTTGGCAGCAGTATGATTCCATCCTGTATTGTGACCTTAAAATACTGGTCTGTAAAAAGGGGAGGAGACTGATTTTATATTGGATCAGTTGTTGTCACTTAACATCTTTGATTTAATGATTGGTGACTCATGTAGTGATATAAGGCAAGTGTAAGTAGCTTCTTAACTTCAGTCTTCCTGTATGGGTAATGTTGGAAGATTCCGCTGCTGTATTTCTCCTGTCTGGGAAATTGAAAACAACTTTCTGGGATAAAAAGTTGACACAAGTATGCAAGCATCTGTACTTTGCCTCTAAGAATTCTGGTTGAGCCAGTACTGCAGGTTAGAAGCAGAGGAGGTTCTTTAAAATCAGAGGTGTAGGGTCAGTTCAGTCAGAGTCAATTTGTGAGGAAATGAAAATGTAACCTTGATGTGAACTCTCGGCAGGTGTACCTCCTGCATGCTGCATCCAGTGGCATGTCTAGCACGCAAACTTGGAGGAGAAGAGTAACCTAAGTTTGATTTTTGTCCAGTGTCACACTGATATATAGTTAAGAAAAACCTGAGCTATTAAAATATTGCCAAGACTACAATGCTAATTACGGCGATAAATAAAATAAAATTCACACCATCGTTAGGAGGAATTCATTGCTGTATTCAGAATGCATGCCGGTGTGGTGAGAAAGAAATGATATAATTACATATGCATGAAATCATGTAAGGTTCTGAGCATCAAGAGCTTGAGAGAGCACTCAAGATTCCAATGTCACATAATTTTGGTTTAGGATATTTTTGGTGTGATTTAAGTTCCTGTAAAGAAGAAGGTGCAAAAAATAGAAGTGAAAGTAGCTGTAAGACCATCAAAACAATGGCAGTCTGGCTGTTTATGAGAAGAAAATTAAGATTAGCTTTCATACTGAATAAGCTCTTTGGTAAAAATCGTTGAATTTAAAAGAGTTTCTTCAACACTCTGATTGTGAACTTTACGTTGATTACTGTGAAACTTTAAGGTGAATTAAAACTTTATAACATAATCTTGACATTGAAACTTTAAGGAGAAGTGTTTGAAGGCAATGGAGTAAGTCAACACAACTTTCTTTTCTAGACCTTTTAAAAAGGTTGTTTGCTTTTTAAAACTTAAAAAAATCCCAGTATCCAGTTGCTGCTTGTGGTTTATTCTCTTGTGATGTTGTGCCTGGCACCAGTTCTTCTCTCAAAAGATGGAAGTGATTCATTCTAGAACATCAGTTAAGCAGAAATTTTAAAAGCACATTTGCAGATGAGTTTTGATGTTTCTCACAGGTCTTTTGCAGAGCATAGGCATTTTCTCATGTTGGCCCAGATTTTTCTTTAGAAAAAAAGGAATAAACATACCTTTAACAGAACTTTAAGAATGGATGGTTGTCAGGGAAATCTTTCATATTTCACAGACAGGTATGTGACAGGAGAAGCAAGCCTGAAACTTACGTAGTTTCTCTCCTTTGTCTTGAATTGTTCTGTAGTTTCACCCAGAAATATCCACCGGTGAAATTTTTATCAGAAAAGGATCGTAAAAGAATCCTGGTAAGTTGATATTTATTCAGGGGTTGGTTTGGGGGAAATGCAAAACATTTCTGTGGAATGCAGTCAGTCTTGTAGAATTAACTAAAGACACAAGCAAAATACATTACCTTGTTCTGTGGAATGCAATCAGTCTTGTAGAAGTAACTAAAGACACAAGCAAAATACATTACCTTGGACTTGTATGTGCTGCAGGGTATTTAGAGTAGTGCTTCACTTATTCTGTGTCGATGTTCTCAAACTCAGCATACGGATAGTAGACTTGGCCTCCGGTTTGGAGGTTTAACTTGCTGATTAAGCTACTGCTTTGTGTGTTACATCTCAGGAGTGTGTTGCCAAAGGGTCTTTGTGTGTGCTCCCAGATGGCTTAAACTTGCAGAGACCAAGAAACTTTTTTAGGCACATCTTTATAGAAAGCTTGTGTGACCCAACTGGACAAAGTCTAGTCATAGGGCTTGAAAAGCAGCTGCTATGCAGCACTGTTAAGGAGGACCAGTTAATTAGACTGAAGGAATGTTCATATCTGTTATATTCTCTGGTTCTGGTATTTTGAAGCATCGTAGGCATTTTAGGGTGGAAGAGAAGGGCAGATTAAGTCAGGACAAAGAGTTGTCCAAAGCATTCTTAAACTCAGAATTGTGCTGCAACATTAGTTTTCCATTTTTTTTCTACAACCACTTTCAAAGTTAGCTGTGTCCTAAATTTTTCCTCTTTTCTGCCTGTTCTGGAAAAAAAATATTGTATCCACATTTTGAAGAGACTTGAGATGTGTAAATAAAGAGTATGAACTTCTGCCTCTCTAGTAGAGAGCAAAGTCTGGTACAAATCCCTGCTAAAGTGCCTAAATTACTGTCTTTTGCTTTGACTGCCAAATTTTGAAGAAAGACACTGAAAAGATGTAAATAAAAGCAAATTTTGGTTTTACTCTATTAGATGATAGGAAGTTTTGCAATTGCAAAACTTCCTAGAGTGTTACCAGTTCAGTTCTGCAGTGTTATTTTGTCATTTTTATGACATTCCGAAGGAGATAGACCTATAGGCTACCTGTTCCCTTGTTGACTATAGAAGATATGCTCAGGAAAATAGCAGAGAAAAGCTTAATTGTGAAAGTTCTTAAATTTGCATGCTCATGTGTGCAAGGGTAAAAAAGTTACCTTAATGTCATGTTTCCTGTATAAGCGAGAAGATATTTTCAAGAAAAGTATCTGTATAAGCTGTTAATTGATTATGGAGCTCTTAATATTAAGTTTTAGACTTTGCCACTGAAAGATACTGGTAAGTAGTTGGAATAGAAGTGTTTTCTGGTGAACTAGAGATGAATGGTTTTTGGTGTCCATGTATTTTGTAGAATTTAAATTACTTAAGAGAAAAGTGACCAGAAGGATGAACAAGTTCAGTTCTTTCTTCTCTGTCATAGTTGGGGACTAGTTGGGGCATTCATTCACATGGGCCTCCTACCCACGTGGGCAGTTTCATTCCCTTGTAATTTTGCTGTCGTAACCCTACAAGAAATAATAATTGTGTTCTTTTGAGTAGCTGAAATTTGCATTTAAAGGTCTTCTGTATACCTTTCATGACACTTGGAAATTTCTTAAGAATTGATGAGCCAAATGAACTTCGGTAGATGATTTCCTTCATACTTTGTTAATACTGTGATTTCTAGAATCCATTCTGAGTTCATTTGTGGTTGTTTTTTTTTTCTCCACATTGAATGCAGTCTCCAGCTACAACCTGGAGAATGCCTACAGCACTGACGTGACCAGATAACAGTTCTGGCAATTTATTTTTTTAGTATTACTGCGTCTCTTTGAAAATGATTGCTGGTAGGCATGGTATTTCAGGTAAAACTAGATACTCTGACGCTTTCATTCAGAAGAGCTCGGATCTTTGTCCTGTTCTGCATGATTTGTCTCTTTGCTCAGTTCTCTGAAGTGACTGAGCCACAGGCTTTCTTATACAAGAAGAGGAATTCTTTTAATGTTATGGAACATAGTGTTGAGATTGATTCATTCTGTTTCATGTTTTTATTCTGAATTAAATATGGTAGACTGACAAAAGCAGAAAATAATTAATATTTCCATATGGAACATTAAATGTTTTGAATCTGACTGCAGGCAGCGGAAATGAACTTAACAAGTACACAAACTTTTAAGTGCCTCTAGGAGAGGAAATTGTCAGTAATATTTGTGCCTTCAGTAGATGCTGAAGTTATTAACATATTTGCACTACTAAGTAGTTAAATATTTGTGTTAATGATGGCTTTATAAAGATTGCCTATTTAAGCCTCAGGTGCTGTTGCTTCAATTCTCATATGGAAATGATTCATGTACGTTATTTTGTAGATGAGTGTGTCATTGTGATTTGCAGGAAGGCATATTTAGAAAAGAAGTATATTGACCTGGGTGTTACGAATGATTACAGGAAGGTTATACTGAGAGCTTCAGTGATAAATCATCTGTTGGTTTTTTAATATAGTCTCAAATAATGATAAAAAAAAAATAAATATTCAGAGTTGCTTACTTTTCCAGGGGATATTCAGCTCCTTTTCCAAATAGTTCCTTATCTAATACCTGTGAAAGTAATATGTTAACAAGCAAATGCAGATTTATTAAGAAAGCTACTTACAGATTTAAAGTAATTGGAAACTTCTTTCCAGACAAAATTGATTGTGCGCTTTTTTTTTGCTTGCATATAGCATAGAAGAGTATTGTAAGCAGTTTTTGGTTTGCTCATTGCTCATGCTTTTTTTTTTGTTGTTTTTTTTTTCTTTTTTTTTTTGAAAAGGGAAATGGGGACTTTCTTTTTCTGCATCAAAGATAGATTGCAAGCATCGAGTTTGTCTTCTCTGGAATCCTGATAATAGGAGTAGCAGCAGGGGCTTTCCTTCAGTGTCAGTTGATGGAATATGTTCAGATCATCAACAGAAAACTGTTGTCCTGGTCACTGTGAAAAGGCAAAATCCCTTGGAACATTCAGCAAGGCTTCAGCTCGCTTCCAAGTCAGGATAAGCTTACGGCAGTGCGTAGGTTTTTCCATCCATGTTATTCTTCCCTTGGTAAGTGGTGCAGAGGGCTGTTCTCCCTCAGTTACTACTTGTTGACAGAACTCTGTCACAAACAGCTTCTTCCCTCCTGTCTGTTCTGGAGTAGTGGGAGTCTTGATAGTCTTTCTTTTAAAGAGAGCTTCTCCTGAATCCTTTCTTCTTCAGATTTGTCAAGGAACAGAATCACATATTGAATCTACTCCAAGGAAGCCCTGACAAATCCAAAAGAATACTAAATAGACCAACTAAATGATTCTTTTAACTGGTACTTACAATGTCTTTGACACGGTAGTGGCCCTGAATTTTTAATAAGAAAAACAAGTGTGAGAATACAATACAAGAAGTAGACATTCAGGTTTTTGTAGAACAAAACAGATGTAGTTATCTTTTTTTTCTCTTTTCAGTTTTTAATAGCTTTGTGACATTCCTAGTTTAAAAAAAAATGTTTCTGATAATCTGGCTTTTTTTTCACTAGTGGGTGACAGAGGAGTGGTGCTTAGGCTTTGACTAGCCCAAAGTGAAGGAACTTCAGGCATCTGCATCCTTTTCTGCACAGCACTATGTCATTGTGGCACACCATTCATTCATTAGATTCCTTCTTGACAATTACACCATATCCTTTTGTTGTTTGGTTAGTTGTCATTGCAGCTGAAGAATGGAGATAACAGCTGAATCGCTTTCAAAATGTGAATTTGATCACGCAGTTATGTAATATAGCTGATGTCATGTGGGGCTTTTACAAAGCCCTTCATTCTTTCGGAGTGGTGATCTGGCCTATCTTTGTGTTCTTGAGAACAGCTTATGAAGGACAGAGAAAATAATTGCTTCTGTAGACTTGTCTGTCTGGATGTGTCACACAACTTGCAGTTGTACTAGTTATTGTGTTGACTGTCTCAGTACTGAGCTAGTGACATTTTGTTTGTTTGTTCACTGGTAAAGACTGAAGTGCAGAAAGGGAAAAAATAGGAATCTTCCTTGCTTCTTCTACACCTGTAATGGAACACAACTCGAAGGTTTCAAATATTTTTATTTCTGCTTATTTCTTTGCAATAAAGCATCATACAGTTCCAAGATAGGCAGCTGTTGGATGTTGGAGCTAATGGTGTACGGTATTTTCAGTTGGAAGGGACCTGGAGTGATCATCTAGTCCAGCTGCCTGATCACTTAAGGCCAGAATGATGTGGCTATGGATACATTAAGGAAGGAAAGAATGCAAAAAGGAATAATTTTGATTTTATCAGATATTTCAAATGAGAGGTCTTCAAAAGCCTTGCTCTCATCTAAGAATACCCTTTTTCTCTGAAAGGTGAAAGAATTTGTAGTACTTACTTAGGACATCCAACATGTCTTCCATTTAAACCAGACAAAAGCTGGTTTAAAGGCAGGCTGATATTATAAATCTTACACAAAAATAACCTAGCATTCTGTCTTTGTTTTTTCTGATAAATGGGAATTGCAGAGAATTCTCCTCTTACCTTTTTAATTCTGTTCAAGCCTTGCTGTTGCGTAAAAGGGCACAATCCAATTTGAAGGAAAAAAGAAAAATAATCAAATCTGAAAAAGAGAATTTATTGATGTGAATGATTTGCTGAGCTTCGAACCTGACAGCGATGAAACATGTCAAGCATGTCTGTAGAAGTCTCAGTGCTGTAAATACTGGGGGGGGGGGAAGGCATGGAAATGGAGTTGTTTCCCCTGGCGTAAGCAAAGATCTGAAAGCTACTGTTCTTCTGTATTCATGTTTGTAGACTTTATCTGGTGTTTCTGTAAAAAGAAAAAGAAATTTATACCAACTGTCCTAACGCAGATAACTGGAGGAGCAGGGTTTGTGGGTTCTCATCTTACTGACAAACTAATGATGGATGGCCATGAGGTTACAGTTGTGGACAACTTCTTTACGGGCAGGAAAAGAAATGTGGAGCACTGGATTGGTCATGAGAACTTTGAACTGATAAATCATGATGTCGTTGAGCCCCTGTACATTGAAGGTGAGTAGTGTCTGCTTTGGTATCTGCACTTGGTTGTGCTTTACCCTTGTAAGTAAATATGTCTATAAAGAAATGAAATTTATGCACCGACTTCTAGATTGATCTGTCAAATCCCTCTCTGCTGTGTTTATTATTAGCCTGTTTTCTGTGACCGTTGTGGAGTGAGAGGTTCAGAGCACTTTTAGCATCAAAATCAGTTCTTCCTTTCTGAGTTGACGGAGGGAAGGAAACCTTAAAAACTTCCTAATGTGACAGATTTTGTGAGAAGGGGGTTCAATGGGTCAGTCTGTCTGTCCCATCCATTGTCCCACATCCCTATGTGCCTGCACAGGCTGACACACACAGCCTGTAGAATAGGAAAATGGCAGCACTGAATTTTGCCAGTTTGCAAAACAAAACCAAAACGCCTCAAAAGAATCCAAAAGCCCAAACTCTCCCAAAACCCTAAGCAAAAAAAAACCATTCTGCTTCAAAGAGGTAGAAGTAACTCAACATCTAAACTGTCATAAACCTCAAACTATAATGCCAAATTGCGAGACAGCATTAACATAGTCGTATTTGAGAGATACATGCATTTATAGGCTTCTTTGGGAGTATATAAGTATATAGTGAATCAATGAAAATGTTACTCAAATTACACTGCAGTTTGGTGGGTGTGCTCCAGCTCTTATAAAATTTGTAGTGCCTGCACTATAGTTGTTGTTTTTTCTTTTCCTAAACAAGAAGAAAAATCTGAGGTAGTAATTTTTATTCTTGTTGAATTTTAACGGATGAAATTTCATAGGGAAATTCTCTAGCAATTGCGTCTATTACTGCTTGTGATGAATTCCCAGCAACAGTATTCAAACAGTCCTGCAAACCCATGCTCCTTCTCTGCTCTGACAATGCATGAGTTCAGTTATTTTACTTCAAAATTCTGCTTCCACGGACAGGATAATGGGACTAGAATCTTATTAATTGGTTCCAGGTGCTAGAAGCTTATACCTCTAGCAAGTCGAGTTTGTCAGCTTTCCTCATCTTTGCCCTGCGTTACCTTCTTTTTGACTGATGACACTTGAGACCTTTTCAGAGAAATATCATCATTGCTAATACTGTTGCCCAGTTGCTGCACACCAGTGAATGGGAACTTTGAGAGCCTTCTATGTAATTAAGACACCAATTCCTCATTTTGTGTTGGCAACAAATTAGAACATATTATTCAGTGGGTAGTTTGTTGAATGTCTTCTTATCCTCAAACAGCAGAAATGAAATCTAGCATGGCTAAATCTTAAAATAAAATTAACTTTGATATACTACTATAGGAACACGATAAAATTTCATTGCATTGCAGAGTTTCTATTCCAACATAGGAAGTGGAGGGGAAAGATGAGGCAATGAGGAATAGTTATTGGAACAGATTAACAAGTTGGCATATGGATCAATACTTCTTTCCTTAGCTTCAGTTTCTCCTTTTTACTTGTAAATAGGTTGGAATGACTGAAGTCATGACAAAAGAAGGTTTGTATCTTAAGAATTCCTGTTTATTTGCTGTCCTATTTAAACAAGGTCATATAAGATTTTTTGACACTTAAATTCCAGAGAGAGTAATCAGTGCTTTATTTCTGAGAGAGACCTCATTTCTGATCTAGAAAGAACAGTATTTGCACTTTTGATGTGGAAAGTGAGTTTAGTCTCAAGATGCTAGCTTTCACAAAATCTCTTGATGCATTTTTTTGTTATTTCTTTTTTTTTAGCTTCACAGTAGTGCCTACGCACAATCTGCTTTGTCTGAGTCTTTATCTTTGATCCATGACACAAAG